CTCCGTGCACACTGAAGGTCGTGGCCTGAAAATGCCAACAGAACCACATCATCTGCATACGTAGAAACAAGACCGAGAGGTTCCCAAACCAGACACCATCCTCTCCATGACTGTGTCTTGAGATCCCGTCCATGCATTTTGCAAACAGGTTCAGAGACAAGAGCCAGCCCTGGTGAAGTCCAGCTTGCACTGAGAACAAGCTCAACTCATATAAAAAAATAAAAAATAAAAAATAAATCAGTCACAATACTGCCTTCCTGTTTAAACACTGGCCTTTGCCTAAACTGAACCAATTGCAAAAGATAATCTAATATGCGGCATGTTTAATTCAATAATGGATCCTGTTACTCAGTTCTACCTGTTACTCAGTTCTACGTCACACGTTCGTCTACAGGTCTACTGAACTGTTTCCAGGGGCTTTCTGGGCTGCATCCACTAATAATGGCTTTCAAGGATTGAAAATGAAAATAAATGTTTCAGGCTGATTTGCATTTGCTTGGCAATGCCAGTTTTTGTTTTTTACTTGCCTAACTGCGGCGCTTTATTTACACATTTCAAAGAAGCTAGAATAGATTCTCCCATTCAAATTCTATCACTTGATTTACTTATTTTTTTTTTTATAATTTCAGCTTTCCACTCTAAATCATGTTCTTCATCTGTAAATTTGATTAACGTCATGAAATTCTTTTGAAAAGTGGAATACAAAAAAGAAAAAAGAAAAAAAAGGGAAGAAATAAAGAAAGAAGAGACTTGAATTTGGAATATTTCTTTATTTTTGTTGGAATATTTCTTAACAAGGTTGAGCTCTTGATTTTAAAAATGAGTGCAAAACATGAACCATGTTTTTATTTGATAAATTGTGCTTCCAAAATAATTTTCACTAAATATTGATTTTGACAGCTGAATTTGAAATGGCATTTTCTTTAATAGCTAGGCGTCTTTATTTTTAAATGTTGCTAACTTTTTAACAATATTTTTACACCTCCTGCCACATGTGAAAGCATGAATATTTTTTTAGAGATGAATAAATGCAGCTGTTTGATGGCACACAACTCGCCCTGTATTTTAGGAGTAGGAGGAGCCGATCATTAGTCTCCACCTTGGTTTGTTTATCAATCAACCTTTATTTAGACAGGTAAATCCCATTGAGCCTCGAGGACTCATTTACAAGAGAGACCTGATTTCAACAAAGAAAGATGACAACAATGGACAACAGCAATACCATGGTTTATGAATGTTTATGGAGCATTCACACTATTGTGATCCATTTTTCTTCCATATGTTTGTCAGCATCTTTCTCGTTTCACAATTTTTGTGCCATTTCAACAAATCATTTTTCAAAATCTTCAGTTCAAGATAATCCTGTGGTGCCATTTTAGCTTTTTGAAATGTACAGCCCTTTCTGCCATTTTTTTCCTAATAGATTCAGCTAATTTTACATCCTTCATATACTGTATTTAGATCAGTTTACAACCTTTTACTGCTCCTTTCACATTTTGTTCTGGTTCAGCTTCCTTCTGCAAATTTAAACTTTTTTTGTAGCTATATTCGGCTAATTTCAGCTGTTTTTGCAGCTGCTCCTTTCAGATTGTTTCTGCTAACTACAACATTTTGTGCTTTTTCTAACTTCTTTCAGCTAATTTCAGCTTATTTCTGCACGTTTAAACTTTTTCTGCTATTTAAGCTGTTTTATATTAATTTCAGGGATTTTTTTTTTGGGCCAATTCCACATTTTTTGCACTCATTTCAACTTTTTTCAGCTTAATTCAGCAAAAATGTACACTCTTTACTTCCATCTGGTAATTAATTTAAGCTTTTTTGCTGTTTAGCTACTTTTCAGCTGTTGCTAATTTCAACTTTTTTTCTGATAATTTCCACGCTTTTGTTCTCATTTCTCCTTTTTTGAGCTTAATTGGGCAAACGTGTACTTTCTGCTTTCTTCTGCTAATTTAAGCTTGTTCTAACGTTTAAGCTAACTTTTAGCATTTTTAGCTAATTTCAGCTGTTTTCAGATAAATTCAAAATTTTCATGATAATTTCTTCTACTTTCAACCTAATTAACTTCTTTATGCTAATTTAAACTTATGCTCTTTTCAGCTTTTTTCTGCTAGTTTCAGCTTTTTCTGCCTTTTCAGTTACCATTCAGCTCCTGTGATGCTAATTCTAGCTTTTTCAGCTAATTCTACATTTTATGAGATCATTTCAATTCTTTCCACTTCCTTTTGGTAGTTTAAGCTTCTTTTTGGCTTTTCAGCTATTTCAGCAATTTTTTGTAGCTAATTTCAGCTCCTTTTAAGCTCTTAATTTTTACTTATTTAACCCTAATTCAGCAAATGTGTGTTTTTTTCCTGCTTTCTTCTGCTAATTTAGGCTTCTTTATTCATCTCAGCTACATTTCAGAATTTAAAAAAAAAATCTAATTTCAGCTGTTTTTCAGCAAGTTCTTCTGCAATAATCATCCACACTGCATTTGTGCAGAAAAATCAAATTTTCAAGTTTGAATAATATCCCAGTCCTCACTTATGTTAATAATCATTTTGCCACCTGATGTGCTGATTCTCTTTCAGGCCAGAGCCCATCACTTCTCTTCCTGCCAGCATGATAAATGTTAAAAAAAAAAAAAAAAAAAGAAGATACTGCCCATTTCAGTTAAAGTGAGATTGCCAGTTTCTTTACTGGCATTAAAACAGCCTTGTTTGCACACAAACACAGACAAACACGATCTGAGAGATTGTATAAAACCACTGTGATGTGGTGTCTTTGGCTCTCAGTATGTGTAGGGTCTAATGAATTGTTTAGCACGTCCGTAATAAGAAGTGATTTGTGTTTCCTGGGGTACAAGAGGACGTGACTTTTTAGCTGGCTTCATGTCTCCACTGCCTCTATGGATTAGCCGTGCTCAGCATGCCAGTGGCATTTCGCTGATCTAACCATCCTGTTGTCTCTCCCTCCCCAACACAAAACTACAACTCAAAAACAGAAATTGACTTTGACTCCTGTAGGGAACACTGGAGGCCCAGATGGCATTTAGCTTCAGATTTGCTTTTGTCTAAATATTTCATCTCTCAACGAACCAAATGTATCCTCTCCATTCTAATACATATATAATTTGACAACAAGCTCAAAGACATAAACACAATGTGACCAAAATGAAAATCCCTGTTCCTGTACTATAAGTATATAATGAATAATTGATAACTCCAAATCATAACTGAGAAGTAATAAGTTTTTTTTTTCCAACACTCACGATTATAGACCTCTTTCTGCGAGAGCCTACAGGCGGCTGAAGGCACAGAAATGAAGATAAAATGTGCAAATAAGAGTTCTTAATCATGTTTACCATGAACCGACAGTTTGGAGCGGATAGAGAAGATTTAGAGTAGACTGCTTAAAAAAAACCCCACAATATATAAAAATATAAATATAAACATTTAAGTGATTTTAAATCTAATTTTAAAAATAAAGGTTGCGGCGTGGAAGCAGCTTTACGACAAATCAGAATTTACGAGAGACATAAGGCGAGTCTGCAGTGAGGGATGCACTGGTAGTTTGAGCAAACAGCACAGCGTTAAACCAACAGCTCATTTATTTTAAAATGTGGTGTTGCAGTAACTATATGAACATTTAATATCTTACCTGATGTAGATAGCTATTGGAATAAACTCAGTTTGAAGAAAATAGACTTTAATTCTGATCAGATGACATACTAAGTACTTTTTTTTTTTTAATTGTAAGACAAGAGTTGCCAAAGCAACTTAAATCTTAAAAGGTGTAAGGCAGTTCATGCAAAGTAAATAAATCCAACTAAGTTCAGTCAGGTCATCTGGACGCTTTCTTTTATCTTGTTGAGAAGTTTCATCCTTCATCCAAAGGACTTCATCAGTCCGAGGAGCCACAACAATCTGAGTCCCCCAAGCAGCAACCACTGCATAGTGAACCAACCAGTTTGATGGTGATAAGATGGTTTCTGGGGCCCACCCTCTCCCCTGCCGACTCCTCTGAAGCAGCCATAGCCAAAGTGGTTCAAAACATCAAAGTTTATGGATTTTTTCCCCCCTGGATTATTGAGCATGAACTTTGATGTTTTGAACCACTTTGATTATGGCTGCTTCAGAGGAGTCGGCATGGGGAGAGGGCGGGCCCCAGAAACCATCTTATCACCATCAAACTGGTTGGTTCACTCTGTGAGTGTGCTGCTTGTTAGACTGACTTTGTTGTGGCTCCTCAGACTGACGAAGTCAGAATCAGAATTAACTTTATTATCATTGCACAGAGATACAATGAGAACATGTACGTACGGAGTGCACGAAACTGCTGCTATAAAGTGCGGCCATCTTATTCTTATTCAGAATAATATTTTTAGATAGAAAAAGGGACAAAACCATGAGGAGAGAGGTAGTGGCATTACAAAAAAAAAGTCCTTTGGATGAAGGCTGAAACGTCTCAACAACAACAACAACAAAATAAACCATCCAGATGACCTGACTGAATTTTGTTGGACTTCTATAAATGTTTATTTACATCACCATTAATTTTGTATTTTACATTACATTATTTCAGTTAAAATACTAGATTTGTGGAAAAAGTGACTCAGTTTGTAGTTGCTGCCGATTTATCTGTGCTTGCAAATAACTATAAAATCCTTTATGAATGTAATTCACAATTTATGCTCATTGAAAATGTTATAAAATAGTGTTCAGTCAAATTACCATGATGCTTTAATGATGGGATTTGTTTTAATACAACTGTAATCAACTCCTCTTCGAAAGATCTCAGTGATTGCTTTGTAAATAAGAGAATAATGGTGCTCCAACTGTAAATGACAGACAGGAGTATCTTCTTATGTACTCATGCCAGTCACCATAATCAGTACAATGCACATTCAAAGTAGAACTCCTTCCTGTTTGCAGAGGAACAGCCTCCAGAGACCAGGACCTGTGGGGAAGCAGACAGGCCTGGAGCATGTGAAGCTAACTGAGGGAGGCTGTTATTCCACCGACCTGTCAGTTCTTCCTCCCCCTTCATCCATCTGATGGAAGCGGCTGGCTTGCCGCCCATGGCGATACAGGTGAGCTCCGTCTCGTTCCCCTCGCTGACCACATCCTCCCCGCTCTCGATGACTGGGCTGCCTGGCGGGACTGACAAGCAGCAACAGCACCACTCAGAAAATGGCAACACTCAGGCACACATAATTCACATGTAAGAAGGTAAACACTGACACCAAAGTAAAGTGTAAATAATTAGTTCTCACCATTGAAAGGATGTGTTAAATAAAATATTTCATTACGCAAACACATTGACCTTTTTAAAAAATACAGCGTAACTTGTTTGAGCTCAGCTTTCTGTGATTTTACTTAAGAGGGTCACCTGTCACAAGAAGTGCTTATTTCATTGTTAAGACATGTAGCAATAGTCTTTTAACTTGTTTATTCCAATTAACACCGAGTGGCTGCAGGAAGTTGTTGAAGTATGAGACTTTTTAGTGAGAAAATACTTTTACATGCATTAAACAAAAAAGATGTTTGAATCCTTGTAAGAAATTGTAAAAATACAATTATAATTAAAAAAAGGGTACTGTTTTATGAAAGATGTCAAATGAAAAGCCTTTTTTTCCCAACTGAATGGACCAACTTAGACAAGACTATATTTGTGACAGTGATTTTCTAATGCTACAGCTAAATAATGATGTCTTCTTTTTATGAACATGCTGCTTTAGACTGAACACACCCGATTTGTTAATGTTTGTCCAACTCTTGTTCTCATTTGTATAATCTCAGTATTTCCTGCTGTCTTCACTGCCAGCTGTTGTGTTTGGAGGCAAAGTGGGAGGGTGAACATGATGTTGCCCTTTGGGCATGGGTCGCTGAATCTGTCTACAATTACTGAATATCTTTTTGGTGAAAAAAGGGAATGCAGCTCCTGCTGTAATTAATGTGACCTGTAACAATTGGCATTGTTATCAAAAAGTTAGGAGCACTTCTTGGTATCAAATCAAGTTTATTAGAAGAGTTTTACAAATATTTTTAGATTTTATGATCCAAATTAAAAACGTCTCTCACCTATTTAGAAAAAGAAACGCTATATTCTTATTGCATGGTCATGCTTAATCTATGAGTAAGTCAAAAAGGAAGAACCTTGTATGCATTACTAACAGTGCTCCATCAACATGGGGCATAAAGAAAACCTATTTAAAGTGACACATCTTAATTTGTTAGTTTAATCATGACCACACCAATATATTAACAAAGCTTTTTAATATTGGATAAATTATTTCTGTTCCTTTTTATTCAGACTTTAGATAATTATGTAAATGCTTCAGAATAAATGTCCTACTAACACTTTTATGGGATACATTTGCTAAAAGGACACAAGTTGTTAATTTTTCTTGTGACCAAGTAACTGCACCTTCAATATATTCAATGTATTCTTAAAAATTGTTGTATATTTTTGTTGAACTTTGCCCATTTCATAGTAAAACACAGTAGGATGCCCAAACAGCTGATGCTGTTGATAACAGTTGTAGACTTAAAGGCAGTGAAAATGTAACATTTTTACAAATCTACATGATTGTTCAGTTAAAACTGTGATGTATTGCTTAAGACATGCAAAACTAACAATCTTCCAACACCTGGGGTGATTTTTGTTTTCTTTAGATATTAAACATGACACTGTGCTTGTATCTGTATCAGCCTGGTAACAAAAAGCGCATTTTAGATGTATTTTTTATCAGCCTGAAAGCCCAGATTTGCTCTCATCGTTATGTCTTTACAAACGACATAACGGCTTCTAATTGCGCTTTTCCATTTTTAAACACATGATTCTCCATTTGTGTCTTACAAAAAAACAAAGCTCTTTTGAAAAACAAAGCTGCAGAATATCAGTTTTTATAATTTATTCATAAAAAAGTTAACGGTAGTTAAAATTAAATAGCCTTTGGAATATTGTGGAAGAGATTCACCCTGATTTCCTTAAGGCTCTGGATGTTTGGGGCTGTCTTAGTTGACACACCTTTGCAACATCACCTGAACATCTGGGGCAGTGCCACTGGATTGGCGGACTGGGGTGGTGGTTCCCTTCTTCAAAAAGGGGGACCAGAGGGTGTGCTCCAATTATAGGGGCATCACTCTCCTTAGCCTCCCTGGTAAGGTCTACTCAGGGGTACTGGAGAAGTCAGTCCGATCACTGGTTGAACCTCAGATCCAGGAAGAACATTTTAGGTTCTGTCCTGGCCGTGGAACACTGGAACAGCTCTTTACCCTCACTAGGGTCCTCGAGGGGTCATGGGAGTTTGCCCTTCCAGTCTACATGTGTTTTGTGGATTTGGAGAAGGCTTTCGACCGTGTTTCTTGGGGTACACTGTGGGGGGTGCGCCGTGAGTATGGGACTGAGGGCCCGTTACTACGGGCAGTTTGGGCCCTATACAAGCGGTGCGAGAGTTTGGTTCACATTGCCGGTAGTAAGTCTGACCCCTTCAGGGTGGGAGCTGGACTCTGCCAGGGTTGCCTGCTGTCACCGATTCTTTTCATAACTTTTATGGACAGAATTTCTCAGCACAGCCAGCAGGCGGAGGGATTCTGGTTTGGGGTCCTCAGGCTTCCTTCTCTGCTCTTTGCAGATGATGTGTTCCTGTTGGTGTCATCGTGCCATGATCTTAAGCTCTCACTGGAGCGCTTCGCAGCCGATTGTGAAATGGCTGAGGTGACCTCCAAATCTGAGGCCATGGTCCCCAGTTGGAAAAGGGTGGATTGATCTCTTTGGGTCAAGGGTGAGGTTCTGCCTCAAGTGGAGGAGTTCAAGTATCTTAGGGTTTTGTTCACAAGTGAGGGAAGAATGGAGCTTGAGATTGAGATTGACAGATGGATTGCAGCAGCATCTGCAGTATTGTGGACTCTGTACCAGTGTATTGTGGTGAAGAGGGAGCTGAGTTCTAAGGCAAAGCTCTCTGTTTAACAGTCAGACTACATTCCTACCCTCACCTGTGATCACAAACTCTGGGTAGTGACCGAAAGAACAAGACTGTGGATACATGAGGCTGAAATGAGTTTCCTCCGCAGGGTAGCTGGACTCTCCCTTAGAGATAGGGTGAGAAGTTCAGTTATCCACGAGAAACTTGGAATTGAAATGCTGCTCCTCCACATCAAGAGGAGACAGTTGAGGTTGTTTGGGCATCTGGTAAGGATGCTCCCTGGGCGTCTCCCTAGGGAGGTGCTTTGGACATATCCGACTGGGAGGAGACCCCAAAGAACACCCAGGATGTGCTGGAGAGATTATGTCTCTCGGTTGGCCCGGAAACGCCTTGGAGTTTTCTCAGAAGAGCTGGAAGAGGTGGCTGTGGAAAAAGATGTCTGGGCCTCCCTGCTCAAGCTGCTGCCCTTGCAACCCGAATTCGGAATGAGTGGAAGATAACTGATGGATGGCTGGATGGAAGGATATTGTAGTGCACCTTGTGAGGAACATACATCTTATTGTCATACAACATATGTATGTGCAGAGTTGCATTTCAGCCAGAAATGCAAGTTTTTTTTGTACTTTGGGTGGATTTCAGTATATCCACTGAGGATCTAACACATGGGAATGATTAAGTAACTTATTTCTTTGTGTCTGACTGAGGAGCTGAGCTTCAGTACACAAACAGATCAGTGTAGCTACATTGAAATAGCGATACACCAATGTCCGGTGTCCTGAGGGATTTGGATTTCTGTAGTTTTTCTTGACTGGAATTGAACAGTGAATGAAAGTTAACCTTAATGTTTTTGGTGAAAAATAATTAAGGGGATAGGAGTTACACTGTGTGGAAAAATAAAGGTAGTTTTTTTTCTGCAGAGTGACTGATCCTGGGAAGTGGAGGGAGCAATTTTAACTACAACCAAGCACAATGGCCATGTTGGATTTTGACTTGGCAACCCACTTTTTGAAAGGAAACTTTCTTTTTTCTTTTGCCTACATGTACCCACACATCGAAATGGAAGTCGTTACCTCACTTATATTTCAAGTTATCATGCTCACAACCTGCATGGATGAACAGATGGACGGAGGGTGTTCTGAATTCCCTTTTTTTGCTCTGCCATGGGAAAATAAGAAGAAGTACACCACAGTTCAATTTTGGCAGTGTGGCACCTTCCCACAGGGTTGTGATACTGTGTTATTTTTTATGTGCACTTCAATCTTTAAAACTTACACACAAGTTTCACAAATTTATGTTTTTGAAACTATGATTATCAACTTTAAATGATAACGATGGCAATATTTTAGCTTAAACTTTTGCGATGGACTGAATGACAACCAATCACAAAACTCGCCATAATTTGGCATTTCTGCTAATTCGAAGGAACTGATGATTCAATAATACAGATAAACATTTATTCATAACGCTGTGCTAATTAGCAATACATTATTTGATGCCAGACTCAAAAACATATATGCACAATTACAACCTATGTTCAGATGGATATAGGCAAAATTAGATGTATCTTTCAATCGTTCCCTGTATTAGTCATCACAGCAAATTTGCTGAACTTCAGTTACTTAAAAGCAAAAAGTCACTCGAGTGCTTATTTCAAGAGCTCGTCATCTGAACCCCTTGATTCAGAAATACTGCAGCTAGGTTTCAATCGTACAACTGGAGTAATTACTTTAAAGTGCTTTTAATTCCTTTCAATCCCCCAGGATGTCTGCATGTATAATAAAGCTTAACTAAAGTAATTTCTCTCCAAAGCATCAAAGTGTGGCACAGCTGACTCTCAATAGGGAATCATTGGGAGCAGCCAAGTCAACATTCACCAGGATTCAGAGTCAACACAGCTGCCAAACCAACACGGTCTGAGCCATCAGCTTCAGCATCTGCTCCTTTTCGTTATGCTGTTGAGCACTGCAAGAGCCTAATTGGCTGACATTTTGTTTCAGTTGCTTAAAATAACAAGTTCAAAGATTACTATTATTCCACATTCGCCATTTATAACTGAGTCGATTACAATGGAAGTATGAGTTGTTTTTTTTTTTTCCTGCGTGAGAATCACACGTGTGTCCTCACACCTACCCAGGACAGTGATGTCTGCGTAGGCTTCTTGAGGGGGATCTGTGTAGAGCTGGCACACGTAGCGTCCCTCGTCGGAGAGCGACACATTGGACAGAGACACCCGGAGTTCGTTGTCAGAGAAATTCACCAGCTGGAACCGGCTGTCCTTGAGAGCTGTGGGGATACAGAGTGCAGGGACACGAGCGTGAGACATGGGGTGAGAAGGAAAAGGAAAGTGTTAGTATGTGTGTTGGGGTGAGAGAGATGGGAAGGAGGATGACAAAGGAGACACTAGCACAAAATTAGACAGGAGGAGGGAGAGGGAGAGAAGAGGGCAAGTGCTGCCCTTTTTCTGGGCTTTCTCCTTAATTGAGTAAAAGAAAAGTGAGTTTCAAAATGATTCCTGGGGTTGATTTATAAAGTACCTTTACAGTCCACAGACCAAAGAAAGGAAAGTGTGAAGAGTGTTCATGAAGAGCCCTAACAAGCTAAGAAACTCTTAAAATGGGCTGAGGCCGGTCACGGATGGCTGCATCAAACCCACATATTCCACTGTAAAAAGGAGAGGCATTCAAACATACATAATGAATTAAATCACAGTGTGAAAGCCGAGATGCGTGGATGCTCGAAACTCTAAATCAAAAGTAGCCAGAATGCTGTGTATTAATGCCTCTATGGATTGGCAGAATTTTCGTTTAATGTCATCAATCTAGGTTAGCCGTCTCTCTCTGGCTTTTTGCTCACTGCTTTCTCATTTGGGTCAGCGCGCATCCCTGAGCGCTCTTTTACATAAACAGTGCGGCTTGACTTGATTGGGAGGGTCTTTTGATGCTTTGACCTGCCTTCTTTATCAAGTCCTCCCTGCATCTGTCGAGCTAACGAACTCAATTCAGTCTCGGCTTCAAGCGCAGGGAGTTTATTACTCCCACCAGGCCGTGCACTTTGTATTATGATCATCACTTAAGGTCTCAGGGCAGTATCAACATGAAACCTCATCCCCCAATAAATTCTGAGAGCTCTTTGAAAGTCTATCCTTAAAGGGAAACAATGATGCTGATGTACTTAAGAGTACCTGCAACAGAGGGAGACCATTCACGTCAGAAACTGTAAGTGCAGTTGATGCAACATTTCTTTTCAAGAGCTGTTTGCTTACGCACGATTGTTGCTTAGTATTATTTAAAAAATACAACATTTAATCAACATATGCATGATAATTCATATCATATTTACTTAATTTTACCATCCAGTTCAATTTAGTTTTTTTATATAGCACGAAATTACAACAGAAGTTGTCTTAGGGCACTGAACAAAACCATTCACATACACATAAATCTGTTAAAAATGTTATTTATCTGAGGAGCCAACAGATTGCTTTGAGTCTTCTCTTTGCCACAGTCTCCCATTAAGCAAGCATAAAGGTAACAGTGGAAAGGAAAAACTTCCTCCTGAGGAAGAAACCTCCAGCAGAACCAGGCTCAGGATGAGCGGCCATGTGCTTTGACCGTTTGTATTTGAGAGGACAGGAAGGAGAAAACAGACACACAATGGCAGGTCCACCAGCAGAACCAGGCTCAGAATATTTACAAACTAATTAATTAAATTAATTAAGAATAATTACGAATACAAACTATTAATTTGTGTTAGAGATGTTCCAATCGATCGGCCATCAATCATAATGGGATGATTTTCTTTAAAAAGTATGTGATCGGCCGATACGATCAATGCCTTTCAGTGACGATCACAAAAACCGATCACCTTTGCAGCCTTCAGAGGTACAGTAGTATATATATATATATATATATATATATATATACATACATATATATATATATACATACATATATATATATATATACATATATATATATTTAAGCAGTGTTTTGAGATTTACTTGACTTTCTGCATCATTTAGCCTGTTGAGAGGCTTAATGTTTTCAATCAGTTAAAGATTGTGTTAGTGATAGCAGGTAAATTTGTGTTTTCCAGTTGTCCTTTTAACTGAACAGTTGCTGTATTTACTTGTAGTAACTTGCTGTCTGCAAGTTTTTTATATATATTGTTTTTGTCTTGGAAACATAAATAAAAACATGTTTTTGTCCAAATTAAGGTAATTTTATGGTTCCTATTTTCCAGATCACATAGTGACATATACATTTTTATTTTTTATATTCATAACACAATTTTTGACTGATGCTTTAAATTTCTAAGAACTGCAAGAGCGAGTCATCCAGTGCACGCTCGCTTCACTCAGCTGGTGCGGAGGAACGCTGGAGAGCTAGTGGCTCCAGCCACGATGAATGGATGGATGGATGGCGGACACCACGCCATCCAGGCGAATTGAAGCTATTTTGACCATTAAATAAATGCATAATAAACACGACGGGTCAGCGGTGATAATAAATGCAACTTATACACTGAAGTGACTTACATATTTTTTTCCTCTTCATGATGATTTAAAAAAAAAAATTGACTGATGAGACTTAAGCACGGTGGCGCAACTGGTAGAGATGCTGCCTCTCAGCAAGCAGGTCCCTGGTTCAAATCCCGGTCCGGGGGCCTTTCTCGTGGAGTTTGCATGTTCTCTCCGTGCATGTGTGGGTTTTCTCCGGGCACTCCGGTTTCCTCCCACAGACCAAAAACATGCATGTTAGACTGATTGGTAACTCTAAATTGTCTCTAGGTGTGAGTGAGAGAGTGAATGGTTGTTTGTCTCGTTTGTCTCTATGTGGCCCTGTGATGGACTTGTGACCCATCCAGGGTGTACCCCGCCCCACACACAGTGATTGCTGGACATGGGCACCGGCGACCCCCGTGACCCAAAATGTAATAAGCGGGTAAAGATAATGGATGGATTAATAGTGCAAAACATACACCGAACAACGGCAGCACGATTCTATAGGATTTATCAAAAAGGAAAGTTTTAAGCCCAGTCTTAAAACTGGACAATGTGTCAGCCTTACGGACAGAAACAGGAAGTTTGTTCCACAAAAGAGGAGCCTGATAACTGAAAGATCTTCCTCCTATTCTGTTTTTGGAAACTCTAGGAACCGTGAGTAAGCCTGCAGTCTGAGAGCGAAGTGCTCTGTTAGGAAAATATGGAAAAATAAAATTAAACTTTTTTGCTTGTTTAATTAGAAAAACACAGAACAAGGTTTTCTGGGGAAAAATAAAAATAAAATTACTTCTTTAAGTGTCTGTAGTGGACTAGGCCCATGTCAAAAACTAAGTCTAAGGTCAAAACTCTTGACCTTTAGAACCTTGTGGGACAGGGACTGTCATTTCATTGATTTGAACTCAGAAATACAGGTTCACCCATCCTGAGACTTTCTTTCTTGAAGATTCAAGTGAAAAGAACACTCTCTTTTTATTATCATTACTATTTTTCAAATGTTGATAATCAAAGTGTCTTAGTTCAAACCATTTTAGATGTGGCAGTGAACTAATCAATTTTATTAACTGTGTAATGATTTTTATTCTCATGTCAAAGCTGTTACAGAGTAATTATGCCTTTTCTGATTTCTGCTTTTGAATGAGCAAGTGTAAGTTGGTCCAAGGTTGGAATAAAACGCAAAACAAGTTGTTATGTTAAAACTGTCATGTTTTTAAAATCCTCTCAGACGTAAATAGAGAAGTTTTGGCACCTGTTGCTGAAACAGCGCCAAAACAAAACTCTCTCTGTCTGTGAGAACATTTCTGATCTGTTTCATAACAATTCTCGCTGTCTCTAACCTCTTACGTCACAAAACACACCCCGTCTGGTTGTTTCTGACCAATGAACAAATCCCAAAAGTGAACCGGGAAACAGCTCTTTAAAATGTCAGTACTTCCTGGTCTACTGAGTCTTGGTTCTGTTGAAGTTCTGATGGAGTGCTGTTGGAGTTCTGCTGGATACACAGTCCAACCAGTTCTGTGAGAGACGGGATGATCCTGACAACAGAGCTCTTCCGAGTTCCATGGGATTATAACATTTTCCACTGAGGTGAATATGTGTCGAACAGAGCCTCGCCATTACTTCGGACGAGTAACAGCATCCTACTGAGACGCTGAAAGGGTGCGTTAAACGGAATCTCACCTGAGACATCTCCAGGTAAAGGAGCCGATTTCATCACCTAAGTGTACTGTAAGGAAAAGCTGAAGAAAGCCGGAGAGTGTCGATTCTGGTGAACACATTTCACCCCTCACACACCATCTTACTCCCTCTAAACTTCTTTCCATCTTTAAACTTTTCTATCAAGTAGAAATTCTTCCAGATATTTTAGAAATGTCTGTGTAAAATGCTCACCCACATTCATGTGGGTAAAAGATCATAATTGTACAGTTTTCATAAATGTCTGTGGTGAGGCAACGGAAAAATCATGGCCGTATGATTTTTCCTGATTGATTGCTTATGTTGTTATTTTCATAATTTGCCAAATTAATGTAAATGTTTGATGTTAAATTTTGATTCTGTAAATAAATGACCGCATTCATTTTGATGGGTCAAATATAAATGACGTCTCACGTTTGCATTTCCTTAAATTCAATGCACGTTTTATTCAGTCCAGAAAAATGAGGAATCCGTGTTAAATGATGAATATATCTGAGCATCTGTTCATCTACATGTCCTTAGGCCCAAAAGACTTAGTGTAACTCACTGAACAACTGGTTAGAAAAAGAACAGTTATTAATAAAAAAAAAAAAAAACACTTTGCCTTAAACCTTAAAATTCATACTCTGACAATGTTAGAGATTTTTCAACCTTGTTGTCTTCTTTAACATTCATACAGTAAAAGAAATGTGTTGAATTCATAAAATTGTCAATTTCATTTCTTAATCTGATATTTTAAGTTTGACTCAAGAAGCCAGCTGACTGTAATACCAGCAAATGAGAAAACAGCTCAACTTCTCTAATTATTTACGTCAGTAAACCATTTTGTTAGTTTTAGCCACCTGCATGAGTTAAACCCAGTACTGTTTGAACACATAAACCTTTTTTTACAGCTTACCTGGGTCAAAAATATCTTTAGTTTGATAAAACTGAACCAAACAAGATGCAAAACACCAAGATGAAGCTAAGTGTTGAAAGAAACCTTAGCTAAGAAGTAAAAATGTAATCTTCATAATATCTTTCTGGAGTTTGCTGCTATAATTGGACCCTTCAGATTTTTTTTACATTGTCAGGTGATGCATTATTC